AAAGCCCAGAAGCTATAACTGATAAATTCGATACCGTTCGACCTAACTACCTACGGTACCTAACATTAAACATATTGATAATTGTTGTACTTTGAACCTGATTAATTGAATGTACATTACACCTATATGCTAATTTGACCAATGCTACGTTTTGTTGACATTGGCTGTCGCACCAGATCCCCTCCATATTACCATAGAACAATAATAATCTTATTAGTTATTACTATTGTCTATTACCGATATTTGGCGATACCTTTATCATTATCTATGACCACGGTCTTATAAGATAATAGAATTGATTAAAATATTATATCATATTAATTAATTAATGATAATGGTACAGAAAGATCAATCGGTTGTAATAAACCACGGACTAAGATATAATGGACTGGAAACGACATGGTCGGCGGGGATCGGGGGACGGCCACGAAAAGATGTCACTTAGCTGATAAGAATACTGTTTGTAGTGATGGCAACACTGATTGTTAACCAAAATTGTAAAATGTAATTGTTAATGTTTGTCCTAGTTGTTAGTTTTTTAGTCACTTCTAGTTATGACAGTTATGTTGTTGAAGATCATTTAAAATAAAATATTATTCTTATTAATAAACGTCTCACGTCTATGAACCAGTATCTATATTGGTGACCTCGACAAAAAGAACTGAACCGCAGCGAACATCGTCACTTGACAAGATGAATGACGATGCAAATAAATTACAAGGGCCGGAAAACAACGCTGCACTACAAAGCACGTGTGTTAACCGCGTCGCAGTTCGAGTACCGCCATTTTGGAAAGGCGATCCGATGATTTGGTTCGCACAAGTCGAAGCTCAGTTTGACTTAGCCGGAATCAGTAATGACACTACCAAATATAACCATATTATTTGTGCCGTCGACACGGAAATACTATCACAAGTAGCAGATATAGTACAAAACCCGCCAGACAGTGAAAAATATAGTAAGCTAAAAAACCGACTCGTCGAACTATACACAGACAGTCAAGAGTCAAAATTACGTAAACTACTAGGCGATATGCAACTTGGTGACAAAAAGCCATCCATGCTCTTGAATGAGATGCAACGGCTAGGTGGTACTTCATGCAGTGCACAGTTACTAAAGACGTTATGGTTACAGCAGTTACCAATAGCAACGCAGTCGTGCTTGGCAATGAGCTCAGGTACCATCGAAGAACTGGCAAAATTAGCAGATAAGATATCTGAAATCGACCAACAACGTGTGGTAAGTAACGCAATATCTGATTCCACTAGCGAAATTCTGAAAACATTAATCAAGGAAGTTAATGAGCTAAAATTGGTGAGTACCCGTAATGATAACCGTTCACGGTCGGAAAGCAATAATCGCGCAAAACAACGTCCACGTTCGTCCTCACGCACAAGGTATAGTAAGTGGAAGATGAGCGAGAATAATTATTGTTTTTACCATGACAATTTTGGCAAGAAGGCGAAGAAATGCGTCGAACCTTGCAAGTACAATCAATCGGAAAACCAATAATTGAATCCAAGTTGGCGGCGCTGGATTCCGACAACACAAGCTGCCAATCAATCATAACCACGGCAGCAACAACAAACAGTACAGCAACACTCAACACCACTAACTACAACAAAAGACTCTTCATTGTAGATAAAATTACAGGTATTAAATTTTTAATAGATACTGGTTCTGATGTATCAATTATCCCTTACAGCAACAGAGCTAACAGAACAGCAGCGAGCAAGTTGAAATTGTATGCGGCCAACGGTACAGTTATTGATACATTTGGGCAACGAACCATAACTGTAAATGTAAATTTAAGACGTACATTTACTTGGACATTCATTTTAGCCAACACTGCTGGGGCAATCATAGGAGCTGATTTCCTATATAAATTCAATTTATTAGTTGATATACATAATGGTAAGTTAGTTGATAACTTAACACATCTATCTGTAGCAGGAATTGTATCGCATAGTAGTGTTTATTCTATTAAAACATATGATAGTAACCACATGTATGCAGACATATTACAGGAGTTCCCTCAAGTAACAGCGCCGCAAGAATGTATGTCCACAATTCAACATAACACTTGTCATAGAATCACAACACTGAGTTCTCCCATTCATGAACGTCCAAGAAGATTATCACCAGAGAAACTGATAATAGCAAAAAAAGAGTTTCAAAACATGGTTAAATTAGGAATCTGCAGACCTTCAAAGAGTCCATGGGCCTCACCATTGCAACTTGTAAAGAAAAAAAACCAAGAATGGAGACCTTGTGGTGACTACCGAAAATTGAACGGGGTAACAGTAGCAGACAGGTATCCCATACCACACATACATGATTTTGTTTTTTTGCTTACCAATAAGACTGTATTTTCCACGCTCGACCTAACCAGAGCATATCACCAGATTCCAATGCATCCAGATGACATTGAAAAGACAGCTATAATCACACCGTTTGGATTGTTTGAATTTATGAGAATGGGATTTGGATTAAAAAATGCAGCACAAACATTTCAACGTTTCATCAATGAAATATTCAGTGACTTAGATTTCTGTTTCGCTTATATCGATGACATACTAATAGCATCAGACAATGAACTACAACATCATGACCATCTTCGTACAGTGTTCAAACGTCTCCAACAATATGGTTTGAACATCAACTTAGAAAAGAGCAATTTTAATAAACAAGTTGTACGATTTCTAGGATATGACATATCAGCAAACGGAATAGCACCAAACAACGAAAAAATTGCAGCTATTCAACAGTATAAAAAGCCAAAAACAGCCAAGGATCTCAGAAGATTTTTGGGTGTCATTAATTACTATCGTCGATTCATACCTAAAGCAGCAGAGCACCAAGCAACTTTAAACGACTGCATAAAACAAGCAAAGAGATCTGACATCATCAGATGGAATGAAATTTCAATAGAAGCATTCAACCAGTGTAAACTTGACCTGGAAAACGCTTCATTGCTTACACATCCAGTTAACGATGCCACAATAGCAGTTTCAGTAGACGCTTCCAACTTTGCTATGGGCGCTGTGCTCGAACAAAAAGAAATTGACAGCAATGGTAAGGACATTTGGAAACCTTTGGCCTACTATTCTAAGCGCTTAACTGAAACACAAAAACAATACAGTACATATGATAGAGAATTACTTGCAATGTACTCAGCAATAAAATACTTTCGACATTGGGTCGAAGGACGAAATTTTACCGTTTTTACTGACCATAAACCATTGATCTATGCTTATCAACAAAAATCTGATAAAGCATTACCAAGACAAATTCGACAATTGAATTTCATTAGTCAATTTACCACAGACATCCAACATGTGTCGGGTAAATTCAATATACCTGCAGACTTCTTATCGAGGATAGAAGAAATCGGATTTCCAGATTCAATCGACTATGATAAATTACAACGACAACAAGAAACTGATGAAGAACTCAAACACCTTTTAGAACCAAATGCAAGTACAAGCTTACAACTAAAAAAATTGCAATATGGTTCCAAGACAGCTTATGTGTACTGTGACACGTCAACAGAGTTAATACGTCCATACGTACCAAAGAACTTCAGACTTGCAATTTTCAAAATTATACATGAATTAGCCCATCCGGGTCAACGAGGAACAATCAAATTAGTAACACAACGATTCGTTTGGCCTGGGATGAAGAAAGATTGCGCACTGTGGACAAAGCAATGCATCCAATGCCAACGCGCTAAAGTTGTAAGACATACAAAAAGTCCTCTACAACATTTTGAGCTACCACACACCAGATTTCAACAAGTTCATATTGATTTAATTGGTCCATTACCACCTAGCAAAGGTAACGTGTATTGTTTAACGTGCATTGACAGGTACACTTCATGGCCTGAAGTGTTTCCTATACCTGACATGAAAGCAGACACAGTTGCTGAAGCATTCTTCAACGGGTGGATCGCAAGATTTGGTGTACCAGAGAAAATTATTACAGATCAAGGCCGTCAATTTGAGAGTAACCTTTTTACTGCATTTACCAACATATTAGGAATTAACCGAGCACGTACTACACCCTATCACCCACAGACAAATGGCAAGGTTGAACGGTTCCACAAAACACTCAAACAGTCTATAAGAGCTCATGCTACATCAGACTGGACATCAGTACTACCTACTGTACTTTTCGGATTAAGATGTACCTTGAAGGATGAGAATGTTTCTCCAGCATACCTAGTGTATGGCACGTCACTCAGAATGCCAGGAGAATTTTTTGTCAATTCAAACCAACCAACACCTGATACAGACACATTTGTTTCACAACTTAAGCAAAAGTTTGAGCTAATAAGGCCAGTCAGTACTGTACACAAAACAAGCAGAACTACGTTTATCTCACCTGACTTATCGAAGACAACACATGTCTTTGTGAGACATGATGCAATAAAAAAACCACTACAAATGCCTTATGACGGACCATTCCGCGTAATACATCGGACTGACAAAACATATCAAGTTGACATCAATGGCAAGACAGTGAACATTTCGATCGATAGACTCAAACCAGCATTCTTGCCAAATGAAGAGGTTACAAGACACGATCATTCGTACGCAGCATTTAAGTGTAGCGCTGATATTAAACAACAGATACAACATCACACAAATCAAAAAAAAGTGTCATTCAAGACATGAAGCAATGTTCCTTAGTAATTATTATATTATTTTGACATATCAGTATATTACATTATTTTTTTCTTATAAATGTAAAATGTTACTATCTTTTATTATTATCTTATAAGGTTGTATATTATTTTGTTATTGTATCTTATCTATGACTCCGTCATTCGAGGGGGAGTAATGTAGTGATGGCAACACTGATTGTTAACCAAAGTTGTAAAATGTAATTGTTAATGTTTGTCCTAGTTGTTAGTTTTTTAGTCACTTCTAGTTATGACAGTTATGTTGTTGAAGATCATTTAAAATAAAATATTATTCTTATTGATAAACGTCTCACGTCTATGAACCAGTATCTATAGTTATAACATTATTGTTATTGATATTACTAAGACTAGCTAGAGTGCTCATGGAGTCTGTCAAAATTATGTACTTATTATTATGCAGGTTGGCACTTATTATATAGGATAGTGCTTTATATATAGCTAGTGCCTCAGCTGTATATATGCTACAATTATCCGACAACCTTTCCGAAAGTTCGGTTTGTAGAAAAACTGCAGCAACACCCACCCCTTTGTCTGTTTTTGAGGCGTCGGTATATATATGTATGTAGTCTGGTAATGTGTTTATTAATTCATAGAATGCATTTTTGTATGTAAGATTTGTGGTTTCTTTTTTGTTGTAAATTGCTATCGACATGTCAAACGAGTACTTTGTCGTTGTCCATGGAGGTTTTACGAGTATTTCTCTAGTCAATATATTACTTATTTCTAATTTTAGTTCTCCCTCTTTTTCTTTTATTCTTTTGTACATAGGTTGTATTAATTTGTTGTTGTTGTTAAAGGTATTTTCGAATCTGTTATTGAATACTGTGGAATACGTTGGTTTGTTCGGGTCGGTTGCTGTTCTTACTGCGTATTGCAACATCAGTTGATTTCTCCGATTATTAAGTGGTTGTTCTCCTGTAATATTGAGTATGCTGTTTATGGGACTACTTCTAAATGCACCAGATGCCATTCTTAGGCCAGCATTATGGATAACGTCAAGCATTGTCAGTGCTGAGTTTCTCGATGTCATATATAAGGGGGATCCGTAATCCAAAATTGATCTGATCAGTGAATTGTAAATGTTTATTAGGGTTTTAGAGTCTGCTCCCCATTTCGTACCTGAAAGTACTTTGATAGTGTTCAGTCTTTTTTTGGCTTTGTCTTTTAGCTTTTTTATGTGTGTGGTCCAGGTAAGTTTTTCATCGAAGGTAAGACCTAATATTTTTAAGTGTCTTGTGTAAGGAATTATTTTGTTGTCCATTTTTAAAGTTAGTTTTTTTTTAGTTTTTTTGTGTGAAAATATTATGAACTGGGATTTTTCTGGTGCAAATTTGAACCCTGTATTTTTGCTCCAATCGTTAAGTGAGTTGGTGTATTTCTGTAATTCTTTTCCTAAAGTGTGAATACATTTGTGTCGAAAGAAAATATTGCTGTCATCCGCATATATTGTAATTTTTCCAGGGGTGGGTATAAGTTTAGATAAGTCATTTATTGCGATTATAAATAATTTTACACTTATGGAAGAGCCTTGGGCAATTCCGTTATTCAGGTTATATAAGGATGAATGATGTCCATCAACAGCAACTTCAAATGTTCGGTCAATAAGGAAATTATGTATGAAATATAAAATGTTGCCTTTAACGCCCCAGTCTAGTAAGATTGAAATAATTCGGTATCTCCATGTCATATCGTACGCTTTTTGTATATCGAAGCTTACCAGTCCCATGTATTGTTTGCATGCAATTGTTTCACATATTTCTGTATCAATGTTTACAAGGCAGTCGTAGGTCGATCTGTTTTTCCGAAATCCAAATTGTTCTTTGGCGAGAAGTTTATTTTTTTCTAGAAACCAGTTAAGTCGAACGCTGACTATTTTTTCGAATATTTTACTCATTGTGCATAGCAGCGATATAGGCCTGTATCCTTGTACTGCGAATTTATTTTGGTTAGGTTTATGAATTGGGATAATGGTAGCTTGTTTCCATTTTTTTGGGAACTTGTGTTGTGTCCACATTTTATTAAATATTTTGAGTAATGTAATTTTTCCTATTTCGGGTAAATTTTGTATAAATATGAAGGGGATGTCATCGGGTCCACAACAGTTGCTCTTATGTTCATAAATAATGTTGTCGAGTTCTTTTCTTGTTATTGACAAATTTAGGTTTGGTGTATCAATATGTTCAACAGTGGTTAGTTCCTTAACGTTTATATTTTGTTTTTCGATTTCGGATTTGTACTTTAAGAAATTTGGATCAAAGTTGTTATCGTCGCTTATTTCCTGAAAGTATTCACCTAGTGCGTTTGCTATTTCTAACGGTTCTGTAATAATGGATTTATTATTATTAGTTCTGAGTAATTTGATATCCGTTGATTTTTGCACTCCTTTTATTGATTTTACTTTGTTCCACACTATATTAGGATTTTCAAGGCAGGTAATTGATGACGTAAAAGAGTTCCACGAGTTTGTTTTACAATTTTTTATAATGTATTTAGCTTTAGCTCTTTGTTTTTTAAGTTCAATTAGATCGATTATACTTCTGCTTTTTCTAAATTTATTTAAGGCTTTGTTTTTGATTTTAATTATGTTTTTACATTCTTCCGACCACCATGGTACGGGCTTTTTGGTTCCGCTGTATTTATTTTTTTTAATTATATTCATTCCAGTGTTATGTATTATTTCTGTAAATATATCAACTATTTCGTCTATGCTATTATCATCCATTGGGAGGCATTTTTCAAGTTCAGATTGAATTGTATTTGAAAATAATTCCCAATTAGGTTTTTTTAAGTTCCATTTCTCTTTGGTTTTATATATTAAAGTAGAGTCTCTGTTATGGATTTTTATGATAATAGGCCAGTGGTCACTGTTATATAATTCTTGTTCCACCGTCCAATCCAGATTGGTTGATATATTTGCGGATGAAAAGGATAGGTCTATGGCCGATACTGATCCATTGGCGGTATTAAAGTGCGTAGGGCTTCCGTCGTTAAGTAGTGTGATATAGTTATGGTCAAGCATTTTTTCTATTTTTTTTCCTCTACTATCAATATGCGTGCTTCCCCATAGAGTGTTATGACTGTTAAAATCACCGGTTAGTATATAGGGTCGTGGTAATTGATTAATTATATTTTCTAGATTTTCGATTTCGAAATCATGTTGGTTTGGAAGATATATGTTACAAATAGTTATTTTTTCTTTTATGTGAACAGTTATTGCTGTTACTTCGAAGTTGGAGGTGATTTTAATTTCTTCGGAAGGAAAGGATGAGTTTGCGTAGATTGATGCGCCTCCGCTGGCTCTACTTCTAATGGAGCGATTTTTTGAGTATCCGAGGTAGCCTTTAAGTTCGGGTGTGTGATTTTCGATGAAATTTGTTTCTTGTAGGCAGATTACGAGTGGCGAGTATTTATGAATTAATCTTTTAAGGTCATCAATTTTTTTATGGAATCCGTTGATATTCCACTGTAGTATATTATGATTCGTATTTATATTATTTGATATTATATTATGCATGCTAAGTATTGTATTATATGTGGGTATGGAATACAGGTAATTTACGTATGTGTTTCGGTATATATTTTGTATGTGAAACATTGTTTTACGTTGTGAAATAATTAATTACCTAATTAATTGGTTAGGTAATTATTGGGTGACGAAGGGTTATCCGTATCGAGGACGGTCGTTTCGCGATTATCTAAATCCATTGTTTCTAATAATTTGGTTGATAAGCGAGTCAATCTATTTTTCAGGCTTTGAGATTTAATTGCCGGTCTGACCACCTCTATCGTGTTAACTGTTAAGCACGGTTTTGGTATCAGTTCCATATTGTTTGCAAATATCGCTAGGGTCTGCGTTTCCTTGTGCATTTATAACTATGTTCTTGAGTTGGTCAAAATCTATATTTATGTCTTTACTATTTTTTATTATATTTCTGGCTGGTTCAATAAATTGCTTTATATTGTCGATAAGTTTTTCTGTTGAATTTGACCTAACTAGTGTTTTGGATTTTTTGATAACTTGATCTTTTTGAATTTTCGTCGCCGTAGATGTAGTACTAGTTTGTTTTTTTTTCGTTTACTGTCGGCTTTATGACGATCTTATTAATTATACTAATTGGTTCTTGTGTGGCGTTAGAAGTAGTTGAGCTCGACGCTGCTCTTTTAATACCCCCGTTATCTGTTGTTGCCCCAGTTAGGTCAATGTCCATAGCTGAATTAGGTCATTATTTCCAATATTTTCCATGGGTGTAATTGGTTCTGTATTATCTGTGTTATCTGCCCAATTGTCAGTAATGAGGTCAACTGCTGGCTCGCTGATATCTTCAATATTATTTTCAATATTACCTATAATTCTGTGATTCTATGATATGCGGGCATTTTGATGCTACATGACCAGTCATTTTACAATTAAAGCAAGTTACTTGGTCATCAGAGATAAATATACGGTGGTTTGTTCCGTCATAAATTATAAATATGGAGCTAGGCATTTTGGGCAAATATTCTGCTTTAATGAATAATTGTCTTCTAAAGCTGAGTAGATGGGAGTATCCTTCTAGTTGTATACAACCTGCTCTGAGGCAGGTGATGGGGCTAGTGGGAATAATATCATGGTAACGTAGAGCTTCCAAAATAGTACTGTTAGGAATATTATTGTATACATTTGCTAGTATGAATCGCTTATCTGGGTTATATAAGTGGCGAATATGAATTAATTTATTTTGTATTTCAATTGTCTTGTGTTTTGATATTAGTTCGGTTACTAGTTCTTTGGAATTTAAGAAGATGCAGAATCTTTTTTTTGAGATTTTTGAAACCGATATAATATTTATGGGTTTAACTATGTCACCTATCTTTTTTATATATTCAATTTGCGATATTTCATCTACTGCGTCGAATACAATTGCTTGTTCCTTTTTAGGGAACAGGCCATTGCCCAATTTCTCAGCGAATGTTGTTGTAGGGTTGTTGTTGAAGACGGTAGGTGTAGGTTGAGGCTGTTGTTTCTGTTGGCTGGATGATGTTATATTATTGTTCATCGCATTGGTTGAGGTCTTAGATTTGTGTGCTGCATTTTCGTTTGGTTGTTGAATTTTTGAGGAGGTGCTTGGTTGTTTGGTAGAAATTGAACTATTAGGTGAGGAGGGGGGTTTGGGTGACGTAGGGGATCCTCGGTTAGGGGGAGGTGTACGGTGATGAGTATAACTCATTTTGTACGGTGGTAATGAAACTAATTAGCGTTATAATTAAATTCTTACCTTTGGTCCGTACATGTTAGATTTATTTGTGGTGAAACCGTATGACAACGTTGTGATGTAGATAACGCACTGAACTTTAACTTACACGACTGTCGCTATCGGAGTGTGCCAC